CCAGTTACAAAGGAAGAAAAAATCCGCTGGAGTCCACATGGGGGGGGGAGTGGCGCGCGGCAAAAACAGGCGCCCGAGGGAGGAAATGGGGACGGATGGAAAAGCAAAAGAAGAACACGGCTGCCCACATGCACCAAGGAAGAGCGGGGGGAGCCACTCCCACCTCAAAAAGATAACGCTAAGCCAGGAAAACGACCCGTCTCCGCCTTTTAGGAAAGAGCGAAAATGTTTTTAAAAGAGCGGCGTCCAGCGTGCAAATCCCAAGCGAGCCTCCTCTTCACAATGGGGTCCGGGAGAAAAGGGATTCTCCCTCCCCCTTTCCAAAAAGCCCCGCGAGGAAAAGGGAGCGGAGGGGAAGAGCCCGCTGGACTTTTTCAACCGGACTCCAAGCCGCCTCCTCCGTCGCCCCGGCGAGGAAAGAAAGAGGATGTGTCAATGGCCCGGGCAAAAGCCGCCGCCGCCGCCTGCTCCCGCCGCCGCCCGTCCCTTGTTAGGCTAATTGCATTGGCTCGTCATCTTCCTCTTCCTCCTCCTTTGCAAAGCCCTAGACGCAGGGAGGAGGAGAGAGGCGCTTGCCGCTGCCTCCTTCGGGCGCGCACGCACACACTCGTGTCTCCAACATTGCGAGGGAGGGGGAGACCCTCACAAGTTGTCCAGGGAGAGGAAAATAAATCAAGATTGCTGCTCCCTCTCAGGCGACGGCGGAGTGCAAGGTCCGGGCCAGGTTGGTGAGGAGACCGGATGCTCCTTCAGAGCAGCTCAGGAATTTGAAAACTTTTCTGCCCGATCCTGCCAGGCATGTGACACGGAAGTCTTGCCTGCTGCATACGATTTTGGCACACGGTTTGAGCCGGCCCAGCCCGATTGCAACCTGAAGCGTGGAGACGGGGGGAGCCACCGATCAGGGAAGGCTCGGCTCGGCTCCTCCGTCCAGTAAGGGCTCCGAATCGCGGTGCAAAAAGTTCGCCTTTCTCAGGCTTGCTAACCAGCGCGCGGCACTGAGCGTCGCCGCCTTTCAATAAAACCAAACGAGGGTTGCTTTTCGACGTGTAGTGGACGGGCGATGGGCTTCGAAGTTCGACTTCCTTCCCAGGGAAAAATACTGTAAATGGCTCCTCTCTTTCCAGACGTGCACCTTGGCAAAGCAGTCCAGCGCCTCGTCTTCCTACGTTTTCCAAACGGAAGTTCACCTCTCACTGCCCGAGGGAGTCCGTAACTCTGTTTTTAAATTCTTTAAACGTGCTCGCCTCGCAACGAGCAAGCCTAAGGCTGCCAGCAAACGGGCAGTGGTTCAACACGGAGGAAAAGACAGGGATCAAAACCTTCTTAATAAGAAGGAAAAAAGCTGCCGGTTTTAATTTTTTTTAAAGAGGCTCCATTACATTGCCCCGCTGCCTGAGGCAATTTGCAGGAGTGCCAGCTGCACCCACGTCTGGTCTGGCTGTCAGCCGGACGATATGTGCTTTATTTGCTGCTGAAAGTGAGGGGTTGGGGGACAATATGAAAAGGATTTTTTTTTTAATAAATCTGCTACCAACACAAAGCAAGAATTTTGCTTCGGGGAGGGGGGCGATGGAAAACGGCAAGGTGAATTACACACCCACCTATTGTTCGCCGGACACCACACGCGGCCACAACCAATCTGTTTCCAGACCGAGACAAACCAGGCGTTACTTACGTAACTCCCCCCACCATTAAAAAGCTAGCCAAGAGCGCGCCCCCCGAGCTTAACCATTCAGAAGGCAATCCCACGCCGTGGAGCTGTGGGCTCCCTCCAATTACTCTTCGGAGTTCTCGCGTCCCTAAGCTAAGAAAAGAGCAGAAATGGGCGTTATTCTCGCCCAAAGGCCCCGCAAGCCAACTGCTGACAAAAAGCATGGAGACAAGCTTCACTGAAAAAAAAAATAACATACTTTATCTTCCACCCTCCCCTGACTCTTACATATATTCAAAAGCGCCTTATTAATTGGTGATAATCGGCCATCTAAAGATGACTGTATTTAAGGCTACTTTCTCTTCAGCCTCACTTTCCCCCTTTATGCATTATGTTAAAACATTTGGAGAGATGCTTTATAGTATCAAATTCACTCCATGAATTAATGATTGTGGAGTATTTGCTTAAACCCCAGATTAGAATTGCTGTGAGGATGGTTTTCAGGTGTACTACATATCATGGCAGCCTGGAGAAGTAGGGGTTGGTGTCTTGATTGCAAGGAATTTACTACTGTCTTTTCAAAGATGGAAAGAGTTCAGGGATCAGAAAAAAAAAAAAGGCTCGCATTCAAATACAAAGAGTGACAAACATTAGCATAAAATTTTGTTGACTAGAGTCCACAAATGTCTGAAGCACATGAGGTTGAAGGTTACCTAATACAGTAATGAAATGCAAAATGTAGTTCAGTAATTAACAAATACTGAGAATATAAATTCCAGATTTATATCCTACCTTTTGTTAGGGAGCTCAGGGTGGCATCCATAATGCTCCCATTTTCCCCCACAACTACAACCCTGTGAGGTAGGCTGGCCTGTGAGAGAGTGTGACTTGCCCAGTGAGATTCCATAGCTGAGGATAAACTTGAATCTAGGCCTTCCCAGTGCCAATCCAACATCTTATCTTCCACCATCACCTCCTACATGCATTCAAAAGCATGCTGTGTATTAATTGATCATTAGTCATCTAAACGTAGCTGAATAAATTAATACCTGGAATAATGGCAGCAGCAAGCTTTGTTATTTCCAGTTCAGCTATATTAAGACTGGAGTTTCATTTTCAGATTCTTCTGTTGAAGAATTGCAGCTCTGAGGTCAGCAGCTGAATGTCCAAAGAGATGTAAATGTTTTCTTACTGGGTTCTGAATGTTGCTATTTTTGATATCAGATTTGTAGTACCTGTATTACTTTCCAAAGAGACTGACCTCTTTTACCTCTGTCAAAAGTAGAAGAGCATAGTTGACACACAATAGTATATAGAAGGTGAACAACACATAGGTCTTGCGACAGTTGCCAGGATACTTATAGGGAGAAAGTTTGCATCTGGGTTTGCTGCTGGCTTTTCCTACCTTCTAAGTGGCAACTGAATCTAACAGAGCACACCTTGTATCCCTCAGTTACTCAGCAATGCTAAGGTCAGGTTTGTATCACATGCTAATTCTTAATATGGTCATTTGATTTTGGATCAGAATGTGGTGTAAGCCCCATTCTAGTTATGTGAACACAGCCTTAGAATAGTCCTAGTCATTTATTTATATCTACCTATTTCAATGGGATTTTTTTCCTAATATCCATGTTAGGATTTTAATTTACTATAAAGCTACAGGAAATTTACAGACCAGAACACATACCTTAGAGACGGACAAGTTTCAGGCTTCTGAGATTCCCTTTCTTTGTTCTTCTTCAAGGTAGACCAATTGGGTCAATTGCAAAACTGTTGCTAAAGTCATATACACTAACTATGTTCATACATGTCAATGCACACATTGTTGAGTTAATCCCGCTGCTTGCCTTGGCACAACATACTAAACTGTAGATAAGCCCAGTTCACAAAATACACTATTACTTAGCCAACCTGGTGTATTCTACAAAACTAGTCAATGTTGTACAAATCAAGGAAATTAGCCTGGCTGAGCAAGCCATAGTTCCATTAACCATGGGTAATTGTGCCACCACAGCCAATGTGTAAAAGAATAGGATAATTTACTGTAAAAGAAGAAAGGAACTAGTATAACTTCTTCACACCTAGAATTTGCTTTCAGAATCTGATCAGGGCTCATAGACATCTTCAGTTATTATCCACCCCTACTGGACTTCAGGCAAATATTAGTAAGAGATCTTCTTGCTTACAACTCAGCAATTGTTGTTGTTCAGTCATTAAGTCGTGTCTGACTCTTCATGACCCCATGAACCATATCGCACCAAGCCTTCCTGTCCTTCACTGCCTCCCGGAGTTTGCTCAGTCTCATGCTCATTGCTTCAGTGATGCATCTAACCATCTCATCCTCTGCCGTCCTCTTCTCCTT